CTACACTGTAACATGATACAATCTCGAGAGCCGGCAACGAATCAATTAATTCTCGGTTGGCACCGACGTTAACATTTGCGACTACGGCTCGGATGGAACCGGAGTTGTCCTTGAAGAAGTTATTTTTCTGAGGGAAATTCCAGAGGCGGAAGAGATTGAAACGCTTATCGAGTTCCTGTTCAAGGTAAGAAGACATGGGGAAGGTGAGGAGTACACCGATGGCGTCCATTATCAAGGCGGCGGGTGAAGTTTAGAGTAACTAAAAGTCTACCGGTGTGGGAATTGGGAAAGATAAGTTTGCTGGTTTTGGTTTCTCGGAATACCCCAACACTTTACTCATTTTACATCTAGCTGGTTTGCCCGAGAGGTTAAGGGGGAAGACTTAAGATCTTCTGCATATAAGTGCGCATGGGTTCGAACCCCATAGCCAGCAATTACATCAAGTGTCTGGTGTGTCTCTGCGGCTTTGCTTTTTTAATTTTAGGTTGGAAAAAAGTTAAATACTCCAACTTCTTTCCTTGTTTCAGGAATTTTCATTTTTAGACGACGCGGTATGGGCCAGAACGAGAAGCAACGGAGCTGAGGTGGAAAAGGGAAACGGCGTCACGACGCGGGGAACACCGCCTCCCCAACTCGTTGTATCTCGTTATGGGGCATTTCGTTGCCGTTACCACTGGATTAAACGAGTATAATTTCGAACGTTACCAATTTTTGACCGTTGACAATATTAAATAAAAAAAAAAACTATTTTTTTTTCTAATTATAAATACATTTCATTCTCATCCATTTTATACACATTTTCATTTTTTCTTTCTATACTTCTATTTCAACAACAAAAAATTGAGCAAAACCCAAACACTCCAACACAACCATCCGTTGAAACGCAAACAGGAGGGAGAGGGAAAGCTATAGTGGTTGACATGGAAAATGAGGAAGATCTACATTGGTGGACACCGGATGAAGAAAATGTTTTGACGCAAGCATGGTGTGGTACTTCAAAAGACGAATGTCGCGGAAATAGGATGAAAAAAAGGTGTATATTGGGAGGCGGTGTGCAAAAAATTTCACACTATATTGAAGAAAAAACCATATCGAAATACGGACATGCTTAGTAGCAAATGGATTCAAATTAGCAACCGGTGAAACAAAATTCAATGACATTTATAACCGGCTTAAGGCACAACAACAAAGTGGAACCAACGGCGTGGATTTGTTCAACGCTGCAAAAGAACAATATCGGGTCGAGATGGGACATATGTTTGCGTTCGAGAAAGCGTGGGAGCTGCTGCGATTTGATCCAGTGTGGAATAAAACTACTACGTCGTAGTAAAATGTTTATGTATTAGGTTTAATTAATATTGTGTTTTAATGTTGTTTTTATTATAATTTTAATTTTAGATTTTTAAAAATTATGTCTTTTTTTGTTTTTTTAATATTATGATTTATAAAAATGTATTTTATTTAGATATTATGTTTCATTTTAATGATTAAAAAAATATAAAAACGAAAAAAACGAAAAAGAAAAAAAAACTAAATTCGAAAAAAAAAATCAAAAATAAAACATATTTATTCTCAAAAAGTTGGTGTTGCGTCTTATTGCCCATTTCCCAACTTGGTGTTATAACATCATTTGCTTAGGTGGCATGTGAGGTGGCACAACTTGGTGTTACATCTTGTTGCCCACACCAAATGCTCTTATTAACGTGTTATTTATGGTTTATATCAGCATTTTTTTTCTTTTAGAATTCGACTAATTTAACCATTTTCTATCTTATTTATCAAAAATTAACAAAAAAGAAAAATCTTTTTTGCCAAATTAACCACACTGAGTCCGTAGACAGCCTACACAAACTTTTTCTTTTTTGATTTTGCATAACTCCATACGGGTCCGCAAAGCTTGCTCTGCGGGTTTGTTAATAATAAAAATTTTGTTGCCATTGTATATTTTTATTTTTCATGAAAACACCACAAATATATATGAATTATTGTTTTGTTACATATTATAGTTGGGCATTTGAATTGTTTGAATGACTTTAATGCTCAAATTTTGAATTACTTTTCCAAAAATGAGTCTAGAGCAAGCTATGAGCACTTGGTCTCAAGCAATGAGGACTCGTTCTTGAAAAAAAATTGTTGTGTAGTTAGTTTTCCATGAAAACTTTACAGACATAGAAGAATTGTTGTTTTTCTATATATTATATGGTCAGTTGGATTTATGATCGCTTGAATTGTTCGAATAACCTTAGTGCTTAGATTTTGAATAACTTTTTTTAAGAACGAGCACGCAGAGTAAGCTCGGATAACTTGTCTCCAACTTTGAATACTTGTTTTTGAAGAAAATTTTTGTAGCCCATGTAAGTTATTATTATTATTTTTTTTTCGTAGAAACCCAATTGAGTACTAAAATAACAACAATTCTTATATATATGCGGAGTTTCCATGAAAACATTAAAAAAATACATTGTCCACAAATTTTTCTTCAAGAATCAGTCCGTAAAGAACTTGTATCCAACTTGGTAAAACTCATTTAGACTCCAGAGTTCTGCGAAATCACAAAAATAAATAAATAAATAAAAACCAAAGCAAAACTAGAAAAAAAAAATCCTTCTATTTATACATCTTGAGTCTGTAGAGACATCTTTTACGAACTCGATGATTAATTTTGGAAAACAAAATTTTCTTTATTTTTGGCAAATGGGGTAGGAATATGGTTAAATTCTCAGTTTTTTTTTTTTTTTTGTTTTATTTCGATTACTAAGCTTTAATTTTAAACAAAAAAATTTATGGTAGTCTTTTTGTATTATTATTTTTAGTCTTTTACCATCATTACTATATTTATTATTTCTAATTTATAATAATTAAATCTTATTATCCTATTATCCCTATTTTATTTTTCATATATGAGCAAACCCAAACAAGCTGTATTTTTTATTATACTGAAATATTTAAATAAATCGTATATGAGCACCCAAACAAACTATAATTAGTTTGTATTTTTTTGTATTTCAATAATTGATTGAAATATTTTATGCTGAAATATTTAAATCAAGTTTAATGAAAGAAGATAAAAAATATTAATTGTTGTAGATCTTGTTTTAGCAGCTAAAGAATGAAGAAGAGAATAGGCATGAATGTTATTAGGACACAAAAGGGGCAATGTGGTCTAATTTCCCTGTCAACGTTACTTTTAGGATGACCCAGTAAGAGACGTATGGACAGTAAGACCCTTCATGTGGTGCTATCAAATGTTCTACCTCTGATTGAGTAGATGTAACCTATTACTAAATCGACAAAAGACTTATCAAACAAGGCTTTAGTTGCTGATGACTTTCAAATACCTTTGAAATCATTATCGACATTTAGTGTATTTTTGAATTTAATTAATTTCTATATCTTGAATGCATATAACTTTTTTGTTATTTTGCAAATACTGTAGAATTTTGTGAAATGAATGTAACATGTTTTGCAAGTTTTTAGTATGATATTTTACTTATTTGTACAACACCATATTATTTAAACAACCAAAATTTTCTAATCCATGTATAATAATACTTTTGTCTTTATTTTACAGTGACAAAGGACTTTCAGCCTAACGGTATCAGGTGTTGTTTTCTTTTCTTAAGGTTGGGGTTCAAGTCTCGTCCGGGACATAAGTGGATTAAGAAGTAATTTAGAAGTAGGTAGATTTGTCGTTAAAAGAAACAAATATTTGTATTTTTCATATAAATATATATCTTTTACGAAATGGCTTTAAGTGGTAATTAATGTTGTAACACCCGTAGATTTGACTTTTGAGGTTAGAAGAGCTTATTGAGTAAATTATTATATTTAATTTATATTTAGTTCATCATTAACTTGAGATTTATTTCAACGTGGATTGCAAATATGAGTTTACATATTGTGTGTTCAGCACGCAACGTTTGGGAGCGTTTGAGAGCTTTTAGCTTCTAGCGTTTGACAAAATGCTCCGTTTTGAACAAAAACCTTCGTTTGGCAATACAAATTTCTAGCGTTTAGTTTAAATAAAATGCTCCAAATCAAAATGCTACTTCATGCGTTTAATAAAACGCTACTAGCTAGAAGCTACCCGCTACAAGTTAATCGTTACCAGCTATTTTTGCCGAACACGTCCATAGAACCATAGAGGATTGGTGATGTAGTCATTTGAAGAGTCACATAAGTAATGTTGCATTCATTCATACTAAGATATGTTGATACTTGGGTATCCAAAAGAGAACAGTTGTGTTGTCATTGTGAAACGTTTTCGTGATACTTGGGGTGTAGTGTTTGAGCCTCTATTTAACATGCGTGCTTTGTTCTAGATTATAAAACATGCTTTACCTGACGACTATTTTGTAAGAGGGAAAAGGAACCCATTAAGAGATAATGAGAAGAGAGACATAGTTGACTTAGGATTTTGGTATGATATTCCATAGTCCATACTCCATACCATGCTTTAGACTGTTTTTGAATACATCATTTATCATTTGTTTGATTATTATTTAGTATACGAGTTTATATGTGATTCTTTCCTAAACTTAACAAACTGTCAAACGAGTTTAAAGAGTTAAAAGAGCTTGAAAGAGTTTGGAGAAGTTTTAAAAGTTGATAAAGGTTAAAAGAGTTTATAGAGTTAAGGTGTATAAAGCTTGAAAACGCTTATAGAATTGAAAATATTTTAAGAGTTTAAAAAGGCTGAAAGACTTTAAAAGAGCTTTTAAGAGTTTAAAATACTTAAATTAAAAGAGCTTTTAAGAGTTTAAAATACTTAAAAGAGTCCAAGAACTTGAAAATGTTTAAAAAAATGGAAAGAAAATGAAAAAAGTTTAAAGAGAGAAGAATTATTTTAAAATATAAAAATGTCAATTTTATATATTATTTTTATGGTTCATAATCATGCATAACTCATTTCCCTCTACATATCTTTCCAATCAAAAAGGCCAATTTTAAGTGTGGTTAGAATCAGTTGCAAAATCAAAATCTTAAAATACCAACACAATGCTACAATCTGCTTTGTATATTTATTCAATTTCCTTGCACAACCCATGAATTGAAAATGGTATTGAGGAATTTAAAGCTTTGCTAGAAGAATAAGCAGACTTTAAAAGAAGCTCACAAGTGTCAACAACATCTTTTTAAATGGTAGTAATTTAGTACCAATATCATCATAATCATAGTCAAACAACAGGGGTCAACAATGGCTTCTTGGAAAAGTGAGCCTCCAAGTTTCCAACAACAAGATCAGCCATCGCGTTTCGTGTCTCAACAGTTCCACTCGCGACATGTGGCAACAGAACCACATTATCAAGCCCAAACAACTCCTCAGGGACATGGGGCTCCTTCTCAAACACATCAAGACCTGCACCTGCTATCCGCCTTTCAACAAGGGCGGATACCAGTTCAGGTTCGTCTATGTGTGGGCCCCTCCCAATGTTGATGAGAAAACCCTTGGGGCCCAGCGCATCGATGACTTGGCGGTTGATGATGTGGCGGGTTTCTGCAGTTAGTGCACACGCCACAACAAGGATATCACAATCGGAAGCCAATTCAACTACACTGGGAAAGTATTTGTATTTTGATTCTGGTTTCTGTGATCTTGAATAGTAACTTATTGGACAGTTGAATGCTTCGGCTCTCTTGGCAATTGCAGTGCCTATTCTTCCAAGACCTATGATTCCCACCTTTTTGCCGCTGAACTGCAACAATGATTATATACAAAAGATGAAAAACAATATCACAGCAGTGAGAAACAGCATCCAAATCATAACTGATATAGTATGTTAGTCTACTGCGTAAATAGAGTGAAAGTAATTGCGAAATTCGATTAGGAAGATCATATCCATGATAGTGTGAATTAGCATCTAATATTTGATTTAATAGAACAGGAGATCGATTAAAAAAATTGCTAAATTCGCGTAGATGATGAAGTCAAACCTTAGTAGTCAATTTGAAGTCACCTTTCTTCCACAATCCAGCCCTAACATATCGATCGCACTCACAAATCCCTCTCAGCGTCGCCAACATCAATCCAATCGCCAAGTCAGCCACATCCTCGGTCAACACATCAGGTGTATTAGTAACCCTAATCCCTTTCTGCTTACAATGCCCCAAATCCACCTTGTCTAACCCCACGCTAAAATTGGATACAATCTCTAAAGCCGGTAACGAGTCGATCAATTCTCGGTCTGCACCGGCGTTGGCGTTTCCGACGACGGCTCGGATTGAACCGGAATTCTCCTTGAAGAAGTCGTTTTTCTGGGGGGAGATTCCACAAACGGAAGAGATTGAAGCGTTTGTCGAGTTCTTGTTCGAGGTAAGAAGACATGGGGTAGGTCATGAGGACACCGATGGCTTCCATGATCGAGGTCGGTGAGTAACTGAGGTCCACTGGTGTGGGAACGATAAGTTTAATACTTTAATGGCTTTGGGTGATATGCAGAGTCTCGCGCGGATCTCACGTTTTCTTTCTCCTTATTATATAGGATTAATTGAAATATATATACCATACGTCATGTCATTTATGATTTTTATAACTTTGTCCCCGTTAGGTCATTATAGTTTTTTTTGTGAATATTATACCAACATGGTTGTTATAACCGTTTAAAAAGATAATAAAATTTTAATTTTGTCCACGTTAGGTCCTTAAGGTTTTTTTTTGTATATATTACACTAATATGGTTGTTATAACCGTTTAAAAAAGGGGTAATAAGGTTTTAATTCTGTCCACATTAGGTCTCTGTTTTTAATATTTTTATCATTTCATCTAACTTTTTTACAATTTATATTACTATCTAGTTAGAAGACTTCATCATTTCATCTTCTCCTTGTAGTCACCCATTCACCACAACCACAATTTCAATTGAAAGGTTATATAACAATTTTTTTGTCATTTTTACAAAAGAAAAAAAAACTAATAATAATCAAAGTCTTAATGATTAAGGCTATGTTTGGCGCACCACAACTAGCTGATAGTTTATTTTATGATCTTTTAAAATTTTCCAAATAAACCTCTTAATTAATTAAAAAAACATATTTTTAAATGCCCTTTTATGTCATTATATAAATTTCAGATAGCTTATAAGTCAGTGGCGGAGCCAGGGTCAAAGTAAAAGAGTATCCCCGACAAGCAATGGGGTAGCCCATTACTTATCGGGGATACCTCATTACTTGTCGGGGATACTCTTTTACTTTGACCCTGACTCCACCATTGACTTATAAGTTATCTGAAATTTATATAATGACATAAAAGAGTCTTTAAAAAATATGTTTTTTTAATTAATTAAGGGTTATATTTAATTTTTTTTAATAACTAGTCTAAATAGCTTTTTAAAACGCTAGCTTATAAGCTACTTTTTGGTCTGCCAAATATAACAACTTAAAATAAAGATCGAAAAATAAACTAGCTTGTCAACTAGCTGTGTCGCGCCAAACATAGCCTTAATCATTAAGAATTTGATTATTATTAGTTTTTCTTTTTTTTTTTTTCTTTTTTTTTTTGTAAAAATGACAAAAAGATTGTTATGTAACCTCAATTGAAATTGTGGTTGTGGTGAATGTGCGACTAAAATGAAAAGATGAAATGATGAAGTCATCTAACTAGATACTAATATAAATTGTAAAAGAGTTAGATGAAATGATAAAAATATTAAAAATAGGAACTTAATGTGGACAAAATTAAAACCATATTACCCCTCTTTAAATGGTTATAACAACCATGTTGTTGTAATATGTACAAAAAAAGACCTTGAGGACCTAATGTGAACAAAATTAAAACATTATTACCTTTTTTAAACGATTATAACAACCATGTTGGTGTAATATTCACAAAAAAAAAAACCTTAAGGACTTAATGTGGACAAAGTTAAAACCTTATTACCCTCCTAGGTCATTAACCCATTTATATATATATATATATATATATATATATATATATATATATATATATATTACTATTTTAAATATTTTATTTTAATTATTTTGATATACAGGTTGTAAGGGGAAATTTTGGTTATATTTTTGAAAAAAAAATTTGTGCAAATTTCGAGTATAATCACTATAAAGTCGATTTATTATTATTTTTGGTCATATTTTCGTATATAAAACAAGTTGTGATTATATTTTGACATGTATTTGGCTATTGTAAAAGTGTTCTTCAAAATGGTTTTTTTTGGCATGCTTTAAAAATAAGGTTTCCAAAACAGAGGAATCCTTACTTTTCAAGTGTTTTTGACATTTTAAACTGTATGAAAATGTTTATCAGATAACAATTAGTTAAAGATAAATAATATTAGAAAAATAATATACTCATAAGTTTTTATAATTATTTATTTGAAGATTTTTAATTATTACTGAATTAGCAGAAAAATGAAAATGAGGACATCTTTGTGAAAAAGGATGTCTTGTGGAACAAAAGTAATTTATTAAAATAGGTTTTAAAAGGAGGGAAAAAATATAATATTATTAACCTTATTTGTCGACCAAGTTTTGTTGCAACTCATATAACCCTATGCATATGTCTCGTGAAAAAAAGTAATTTATTAATTTTTTTGCAAATGAAACTTTCCTAACCAGGGTTTTCGGGCCATCTTTCGTACACCGATTAATCCCTGCTACAAACATAAAACTATGTCTCTTGTCATGGAGTCACTACAGGCGAACCTCCATTGCCACATGGGCTGTGAAAGATTTATTAGTTAGTGTGTGAGAAACATGAAAGATTATTTTTGTCTTTTAATTTTGTATTTACATGAAAGATCTATACGAATATTGCACTAACAAACTACTACAATCAGATGTAGCCCCTCTACTAACAAGACGTGCGATGTTAAACATAAATCGTGAGGAAGTAAACAAACGTCTATACCGGTGATTACTTTGCGGATAATTATGTTTACGAGCCAAAGGATTGCAAAAGAAGATTTCATTTGAATAGGAATATATTTTTATGGATAGTCGATGCATTGGAAAGCATGTACCGTTTTTTTTAATTTTAATACATATTTACTATATCTTTATACAAAATAAATACAAATTTTTACATAATTAATATCTGTTTTGGTATAGATTTTTCCAACTGAGATATGATGCAGAGTTAGTCGAGGATTCACAAACGCTACAACAATGTATTGCGGCCATTCGTTTGATGGCTATGGGGGAGTCACGCGATATCATGGACGATTATATGAGAATGTTCGTTCGAAAAAACTGTAAGAGAAAGTTTGTATAGATTGTCGAAATGTGTTGTTAAAACATTAAGTGGCGTTTATTTACGAAAACCTTTGTTGCATGATATACAAGAATTGTATGCAGCACATGAAGAAAGACATGGCTTTCCCAGAATGCTTGGAAGCATTGATTGCACACATTGAAAAGAAGTGGCATGGAAAGGGCAGTATGCAAGTGGTCATCATGAAGCGCCTTCATTGGTATTAGAGGTTGTTTCCAAGATTTATCTATGTCGCATGTTTTTTTCGGGGTTGTTGGTTCCAACAACGACATCAACGTTCTTGACCAGCCACCAATATTCGACGATAATTTATTAGGAAATACATCAGATGCTCATTTCATAGTGAATGAAAACAAATATAAGTTTGAGTATTACCTTACAAACGAAATATATTCTGCGTATTCCACATTCGTAAAGACATTCAGACACCCGGTGGAACCAAGAGATAAATTATTCAAGAGAAGACAAGAAATAGCACATAAAGATATGGAACGTGCTTTTAGAGTTCTAAAATCGAAGTGACGCATAGTAGAACATGCGACATGACTATTGGAGTTAGAAACTCTACGATATATTATATATGCATGTATCATAATGCATAACATGGTCGTAGTCTCTTTCGAAAAAAAAAAAAACATTATGGTAGAAGAAAAAAGACAAAATATTGCACCTTATATCGCAACTGAGCCTAGACATGTTCAATTTCAATTGGGAACAACAAAATATTTGTAGAGTCGTTGACATTCAAGACATACAAAAACACAGACAACTTGGAAAAGACTTGGTGGATTATATCTACGATGGTAACGATGATGATGAATAATTTTATTTAGGAATAGTAAAACATAAATTAAACATAACATTTAAAATAGTAACATCTTCAGAAATGTTAGAACTCATGTTTAGTTAATAAGAACATAAAACATAAATCGGAAAAAAGTTATAGTGAAATAAGACAAAAAAAATAGTGAAAATCTGGCTCCAAAAATCAGACAAATGGGCATGGAGTTTTTTTTTTCCATACCTCTGCATCGTGTGCGAATTTTGATTTTTACATGATGGTTTTTGAGTTTTACGGTCAACATGACATGACAATACATGTTTTTCCAAAAAATACAATATTTTTATATTTTTTCAAATAACGTCACTTTTTTTTTGTAGACGCCGTCATTTTCCGTAGGCCAACGAAGTCATTTTTTTTTAAAGATCGAAAATCACACGACTCCAATTTTTATAGATATGACCTGTTAAAATAAAAACTATTTTAGATATTTTTTATTATTATGACTATTTTGGGTAAAAAAAAAGGTAAGTCATTTTCTCTATGATAAAATCAATTCTTATCTGGTACAGTTTGGCTGGATCTGTAACCGATATGTCCCCTTGTGGCTTCGTAACCAATGGTTTCCTCGGAGCTTCTTAACCAATTGTTCTGCACTTCTGCTGATTCCTTAGATTTTCTTGCGTCACGACACACCATAGTAATTCATTCCAAAATTATCGGCCTCGCTCCACACATTTCCTTCATATCTTATCCCTCAATCTTCCCAAAAAGAGTGATCAGCCAGATGAATAATGCAGTCGACGTTTCTTGCTCCCGATATCATGGACGATTATATGAGAATGTTCGTTTTAAAAAACTGTAAGAGAAAGTTTGTATAGATTGTCAAAAAGTGTTGTTAAAACATTCAGTGGCGTTTATTTACGAAAACCTTCATTGCATGATATACAAGAATTGTATGCAGCACATGAAGAAAGACATGGCTTTTCCAGAATACTTGGAAGCATTGATTGCACACATTGAAAAGAAGTGACATGGAAAGGGCACACATTGAAAAGAAGTGGCATTGATTGCACACATTTAAATGGTATGGAAAAAATAACTGAGCCTAGATGTTATGTTTAATTTAAATATTATGTTTTATTTAAATAGTATGTTTAAAATTATATTTGTTTTATTAATTATTAAAAAAACTTAAAAAAATAATAAAGAAATGATGACATAGAAATTCGTGGATGTTATAACATGATAACCATTTTCCACAATGGTTGGTGTTATAACACCATGGGTCATGTGACATGTGAGGTAGCACCTATTTGGTGTTATAACATGTTGCACATACATAATGCTCTAAATCAGTTAAAAATTATGAACATTAGTTGGGTATGTAATATCACTCATCAAGTATATTTGAACCTTTTTTTTGAACGGAAATTTGAGCCTTTTAAATGGATATTTGAGCCTTTTAAATGAATGTCAAAGCCATTGTAACCCTATTTCATGAGCAATACTTATATGCCTACTATGTAAACACTATTTAACATCAATAATGCTATGAAACAGCATCAATATTTGAATAAGTAAAACAGTACGTTGCGTAGATAAGATCACTGAAAGTTTTTACGAGCAGATGAAAAAATCTAACCTTAGTAGTCAATTTGAAGTCACCTTTCTTCCACAATCCAGCCCTAACATACCGATCGCACTCACAGATCCCTCTCAACGTCGCTAATATCAATCCAATCGCTGTATCAGCCACATCCTCCGTCAATACATCCGGTGTATTTGTAACCCTAACTCCTTTCTCCTTACAATACGCCAAATCGACATGGTCTAATCCGACACTGAAACTCGATATGATTTCCAGAGCCGGCAACGAGTCGATCACTTCTCGGTTGACACTGAAATTGGGGGTTCCGACGATGGCGCGGATGAAATCGGAGTTCTCCTTCAAGAACTCGTCCTTTTGAGGGAAGTTCCAGATGCGGAAAAGCTTGAAGCGGCTATCCAGTTTTTCTTCGAGGTAAGAATACACCGGGGTCGTCAGCAGTACACCGATGGCTTCCATGATCAAGGTTGGTTGTCTGAGGTCAACGGGGGTAGGAAAGATGAGTCCAGTGATTGTTGGATGCGTACCTATTTAGTAATCAGAACGCCTTGAAGACAGATAGGAGATTCCAATGACACAGATCGAAACTCTATTTACAGTTACACGACAGGACACGTACACATTCATTGATATATTGTGTCTTCAAGTAATTGGCGGATTCTAATATAACGACTTTTGATTTGTAGCTCTTATATTTGAATAAATGTTACTTATATTTTTCATATTTTTGTTGTAGAGAAATATAGCTACTCATTAAATTAAGAGAAGGACGGTTCCATGAGTACACCGACGGCTTCCAATGGGCGGACCTTAGCGGGGCAATTGGGGTCCCGGGCCACTGCTCAATTTGTGGCATGCAGTGTAAACTTTTTTTTTTTTTTCTATTAGGTGCACCCGTTTGAAGTACGATGGACACCCCTACTAAAACAGTCTGCGTCCGTCGCCACTGCTTCCATGATTTAGGATGGGTGTAGTAAAATGAGTCAATGGAACTCATGACGTAGTGGATTTTGTCCCGTGTGTTTTTAAATTTCATTTTTTGTGTTTAAACTTTAGACTATTATAATGTTTCAAAATAAATCTTTTATTTTTACAAAAAGAGTTGGTAAGAGAATTTCAAATTGGTTTTCTTTTTTAAATTATTAGGACAAGGATTTTATGATGAGAATACCTTTTAACACTAAGCTTATTGCTGTTTTTTTTTAAAGAATTAGCTTTTTTAAGTTGAAACTCTAATATTAAAGGCAAAGAGCCGGTTTAGTTAGAGCATGTTATGGAAGTGGAAAGTTTGATAAATCTTTTGTTTGGATAAAGTGTTTTCCTAAACATATGATAACTAATTTTCTATGTTGACTTAAAGCCGTAATATGGCATATATTAGTAGTACGAGCTTATCTTTTGTAGTTAAATTTCAGAAATAATGTATTTTGTTGTTAAATTCATAAGTACTGTATGTTAGTATAAATGTGTTATGCAATTTAAATACAAAATTAAGACACTACGTTTAAAAAAATATAAAAGACATTGAGTTTCTAAAAAAAATTATTTTGAAATTGTTACTTTTTCTTACAATTAGGAAACTAAGTTTTTACGTATTAGTAATTTTGACAATTTTTAATTTGTTTCAATGTTAACCACTTGACCAACCGAGTTGTAAAGTACCAATGCATGGTGACGTGTCATTCTTTGATAACGTGATTTTTTGGTGACATAATTTCTTGAGTGTCAAAAGTTATAAATAAAATAAACTGTAGTGACTTAATTGAAAATGAAACATAATATCAAAATCTAATTTTTCTGTGAATTTTGTGTCTTTTGTGCAATTTGTCTTTATTATAACATAATAATCGCAACTTGTTGGAGGATCGGGGACCCTTTGTGGGCAAGCTTTTGGAGCAAAGCAATAGAACAAAAATGGCGTCTACATATATAGTGTCATAATCTTATTGCTATTAGTTTGCATTTCAATCTCCATCTCATGGATTTTCCTCGACAAATTCTTGATTTTAACTGGCCACGATACTTTGATCTCGCATGAAGCCCGTGAATACTCTATCTACCTTATTACATTTATGATTTCAATGCAATTTTCAAGCCTCTAGTCATATTGCTCCAATCATGGAGCCTTACTATGTCATTGCTCATGAACTCTTCACATATTTTATGTTTCCATGTCCCTCTTAGTTGGGGTTTAATGTTCAAGTTAAAGATGGGTCACGTTGGTGCTGTTACGACGTTTTTTTTTAACGGTTGAAAATTATAAGAAAAAACTAGCAAGAAGTTAACAACCAAAAAAAAAAAAAAACAATTACATTGTTAAATTCAAAAACAACTTTTGGAGCTAATCACTCCAAGAAATACTAACCTTATTATATTTATTACTAATCCACAAAAAATACACTCAACTATACTATCAAAAATACTATTTTTAATGGAATTTTATCCCCAAACACAACCTCATTCCATAATTTTCATAAGACCCACATGCCAACGTAAATTATCGCTTCTAACGCCAACTTTTGCAAAACAGTTAGAAGTAAATTATCAACCTAAGCAACCACTTGCATGAGAAGAAACATATGAGTAGGTTCAACATCAACCCACATAAAAACCTTCGGCCACATATTACTAGCCACCTCACTAGACCAAAGAACATGATCTGTCTCTTCCGACACCAACGAACAAACTGGACATAATAAAGAGTCTAACTCCTTCCCTTTCTGACTTAAATTCCACATTGTAGAAAAAAGGTTTATGAACAACTGTCACACAAGAATCAATACTTTTCTAGGAACATATCGGAACCACGTCATGGGAAAGTTTAGATCCGGAAGAATCGTATTATCAAATATGCATACGAGTATCTTTAACAGAAAAAGAAACTGACCCATTAAGCGACCACCTCCATTCATCACTGCCATTAGAAAGATCAACCTCTTCTAAAATTGAAATAAGATCAACCAATTGACTATTCACCTCCCCACCAAAGATTGGTTTAGACAAAGACCAATACCAACCATCACGCCACCTATCCGAGCGTATGACTCGTGGTGAAGCTAGACTGAAGATGGAGCCAACATTGAAGACTTATTTCATCTTTAGCAAAAAGCATGGGCCATGCCAAAAACACATGGTCAAGACAAATGGCCATGCCAAAAACACATGGGCAAAAGGCATGGCCATGCTAAAAACGCATGGCCTTATGGAAAGCACGTGAGCTTTAATAAAAAAAGTGAAGACGTCGCCATTTCAGAAAGGACGGTTTCTAGAGCAACTAGGGGCGATCTTGGGCGATTTTAGGAGAATTCTAGGAGCTTTTGAGAAGGCCTAATCATTGCAAACACTTTTGATTTCATTTTTGTAAGCATTAAACATTCAAATTCCATCTTTATACTTGTTTGATTTGTTCTTAGTCATGTGTGGCTAAGAAACCCTAGTTTCTAGTTCTTGTTCAAAACATGTTGATTGCTTGACTTGAAACATATGATTTGATGTTTGATTTGTGATTCTATTCTAGTGATTATGTTTTTGTTCAAACTAGAATCCTTGAATTTGATTTGTGTTTGATTGGCCACTTTCATGAATTGAATTTTTGTGTAGTTAATTAACTTTTAGAGCACCTAATCATTCTATAAAGTTAATAATTGGTAACAAACAATAAGTTTTCTTATTGTAAAACATATATCACATGTTTTCACACTTCCGAGCGTATGAGAAGAAATGAACATTGTTGGGAAGCTTGTACAAAACTTAATGCAGTTTTTCAATACAATCTAAGAGCGTGTTTAGGTTGAATTAGTAAAGCTAGGTCTAGTCAAAGAGCGTGTTTTGGTTAGATAATCTGACAAGCGAGAGGTATTAGAGCGTGTTAATATCTTTCAGTACCAACTTAGAATAGCAATCATGAATTACATCAAGTCATAATCAAGTTGAACAACAACATTGAGAACTAGAACTAGAACTAGAACTAGAACTAGAACCATTCAATCAAATTGTTTACAAGTTTATTTTATTTTGTGCATGATTTTGAAGTAGATTGTTATTTTATTATTTTACTTTTTCAAACAAATCTCCCTTTGTGATCAAAGTACCTTGCGCAAAGAGGTATAGACTTTTGTCCCGTGACTCTGTGGTTCGACCCTGCTTGCCTTGTACTACTTTTTAGTGCATTAAAGTAGTGTATTTGGAGTCCATTGTACCCCTACTATTTGTTGGGTTTGACACCCCTAACAAATTGGCGCCGTTGTCGGGGACACGGTGTTACTAATTGTGTATGCCAAGATCTCTTCGTACATGTATACCACTTCCAATTGACTCGGAGATAGAGAAGACTGCAAAGAGGATACGGAAGCAAGCTAAGCTTCGTAAGAGGCAACCGGTTTTCGAAACATCTTCATCATCTACCTCTCCGGTCATCAACATTTGGGAGGATATACCCCTCTCAAGTGTGTCAGAAACTGAAACAGAAACCCTCTCACTCTCACCTCAACCATCCTCATCCAAAAATACCACTCCACCCTCTTCACTTACTCATAACATCCCAAACTCCATACCCACAGAATCCTCAATTCCTACTCATACCATGGGAGATAACCATGGAGGGAATCCACCTCCAAATCCTCCACCCGAACAAACCCTTCGCCAATGGGCGATGCAAGAGGTTACTCAACATCCTCTTTGCATCACATATCCGGCAGCCACAAACCTTGAACTAAAATCCGGTCTTATCCACCTCCTCCCAAGCTTTTGAGGCCTAGAAAATGAAGATCCCCACAAATTCCTCACAGAGTTCCATGTTATGTGTGTTGGCATGAAACCACACAATGTCACGGAGGACGAAATCAAGCTTAGGGCATTCCCCTTTGCAGTGCAAGACTCGTCAAAAGATTGGCTTTATGACCTTCCACCGGGAACGGTCAACACATGGGTAGATCTTGCACGCCTCTTCTTAGACAAATACTTCCCATAAATGAAAGCCTCGGACCTAAGAAGAGAGATAATTGGGATCAAACAACACAAGAGAGAAGTCTTTCATACATATTGGGAGAGGTTCAAAAAGCTTTGTGCATGTTGCCCAATGCATGGTATTAGTGAGTATCAAATCCTCCAATACTTCATTGAAGGCATGACAACTTGGGAAAGAAGACTTCTTAATGCTTCAAGTGGAGGATCTTTGACTGACAAGACCCAACTGAGATTCGAGATCTTATAAAAAACATGGCGGAGGATTCAAAGCATACCAGTCAAGATGAAGATTGGTACACGGATGCACCCCGAGGTGTAAAAGAGGTGCACACTCCTCAAATTGAAGCTCAACTATCCGAGTTGACTAAGGTGGTAATGATGCTTGCTAAGGACAAAGGTGTGCAATCCACACCCTGTCCTTGTGGTATTTGAACTCAAGTGGGACACCCGACCGATATGTGTCCTCAATTGCAAGAAGAAGAATATGAAGAAGCAAATGCAATGGGAGGCTACTCCGGGAATAATCAAAGAGCTTATGATCAGCCCCAAGAAAATCAAGGGTGAAACCATAATCAAGGCATGGGTTATCAACCAAGACAACCACCTCTATACCAACAAAGACCATTATTTCAACCTCAAAATTTCCATCCAAGGCAGCCACAACATCCACCTCAACAATCGGGTTCATCAAGTATGTCCTTAGAAGAT